TATATACACATGCAATTGTCACAAAAATTCAATGCCATATATAGATGTGTGTTTATATGTATAAAAAACGCTTTGAGTTAGTTTCAATGGTTTGATACGAATGGAGGGCAGGAATCATTTCAATTTACTTGGTAATTCTTTCTGTATTCTGTTTTGTTAAGTATATGTATATAAACATATTGCTATTATATATGTGTATATTTTTAAAAACCGTACAGATTTACAGGCTATGCAAATATCGTACACGTTATGCATATACATATTATTAAGAAACACCATAATAATAGAAGAAAACTCTATATAGATCCAATATATATAGATATTAATGTATATAACTACATATTTGCATCTGATGCTCGGCCAGCGTGCTACTTTTAATAGACAAGTCACATTGATTCAAATTCAAGGAGGTTTTCGGTGTAAGTTATGTTATATATATATGCCATATAACAAAGAGCCTGGATAAACATGAAAAAGGCAAATCTACGAAACTGTGGAGCTGCCCTCGTCTATATGTATATATATATATATATAGTTTAGCGAATCGCACACGTCTAAGACAATACAGTTAAATAAGCCCACCAATATATGTATATGTATATGTATGTAGATCATATTATTATAATTATTATTATTACTGTATGTCTGCTGTGCTATCGCGCGATTTGTATATATATGTTGCCTCTGCGATTTTGTATTTTTTAGTTTATTTTAGTCGATTTCAAAGATTGCTTATATGTTTCAAAGTTAGTTGCTTCGTTTATATTAGTGTAAGTATATATATACTAATAGTAATAAATTTAAAGCAAATGTGTTTAAACAATTGAAACGAAAAAATTAAAAGAGTTAAATATTAGTTGATTTTAGTACTTTTTTGTTTTTGTTTTGCTTAGTGCAAAAAGAAGAAGAACTTCTTCAGTGGGTTCAGTTCGTACAATATACAGTATTTTCCAATAAGAACGCGCTGATCTTAACAGTTTACGGCGGCCAATTTGTGTAATGGAACAGCATGTCTACCTTCAACTGTGAAAAGCTACCAATCCCTATTGAGTATATATGTATATGCATATATATAGAATTTAACTTTTAATAATTATGAAATTAAAATGCAATGCAAATATTATGTATGTATGTTTGTATGTATGTATGTATATAAGAAAACAGAAAGCATAAACAAATACAAATATATATCAATTTTTTTTTTAATTTTCCATTTTTTTTTTTTTTTTTTTTTTAATTTGAAGATATAGTGTTAATTAATATGTGTGTATGTATGTGGACAGCAACATTTTAAAATACACCATTTAGTATAGATAATAGTAATGCTTTGTATACAGAGTATGCACTCAATTTTTAATAGATCTGTTACAATGTAATGCACAAGGAAATTATAAGCACAGGCGGCAGCTGAGCCCCATTCGACTCAATTTATCTGATTTTTAATTTGCTCAGTAGTGCACAAAAAAAGATAACAGTGTGATTATGAATTTTATGGTTTSTTGTTGTTGTTGAGTTTACTTATTTTCAACTTCTTCAATATTACTATCGATGAGATATTATCGATAATTGTGCATTTAATGTAGTCCTTGTTTATGTATGAAATTTTGGTGGTATGTATTTGAATATAATTACATTAACAATACAATTTAGTGTGTGTGTGTGTATGTGTGTCTGTTTCTTCTTTAACCATTTACCGTTACTAACATACAACTACCGCCTAAGTAAAGTACTACGACAAGCTATTGATGTGGTCTGGTTTAAAGGGGAAGCGATTTGGCAGTTGGATTCGTTGCGCGTTATATCAATTATTTATAAAGGCTAACTGTGTGTATATGTGTTTGTTGTTTGTTGTGATTTTGTGTGTGCTCCATTACTTGTGGCACCTGGACGACGTGGCGAAAGCGTTTGGTTGTGGTATTTGTTATTGTTATTATTATTGTTATTGTTGCTGGTATTGCCCTAAGCGGCCTGGCTCTGCTGTGGATTGACGATGACGGCGGTGGCGGTGGCGGTAACAGTCGCAGACGCATTGGTGGTGGTAGCTGTGGCAATGTTACCATTTATTGATGTTGTGGTTGTTRCTCCCTGTGCCGAAACCTGCTGCTGCTGTTGATGATCGCCGCTCTCAAAATAATCGGAAGCGTTGCCACGGCAAATCGGGCATGTGCGATTCGACTGCAAATATACAAAATCAAATGAATGGCTGACAAAGCTAAGCACGAAATATCGATAAAATTGATACCATTCATAGACACTATTTCAATAGGCTCAGTTGAACGGTTAATCAAGCGCCATTTGAGCATGCACCGTTAGGTGCAGATACTGCACTTAGAGGGAAACAAACATTAAACAAATATTTAACTTACGCGCAGCCATTTGTCCACACACTTGGCGTGGAATTCGTGGGAGCAGGGCAATACGCGCAGCAACTGGCGCAACTCGAAATCACACATGCAGACCACGCAGGATGATTGATCGCCTGTTAAAATTTATAATTAGATTACATATGAACTTCCAAGGGACACGAAAATTAAATTTGTATTACCACTATGTGCATCTGGATTATATTTATAGCTGGGCAACTGATCAATTTCGTTGCGAGTTAGCCCGCGAGGCTTGGCCTCGCCCAAACGCTCAGCCAGGCTGAGCAGCGCCTCATAATTCTCCGTCTCATTGGTGTCCGCGGAGTTGAGATCGTGTTGGTTATACGGTGATAGCGGGAACATGGCGCTGCAATAATATAAATGCAATAGATTAAATATGAGAACTTTAATGATTAATTAGTTAAACTTACAGGAAATTGAGCAAGAAGCCCGGATTGATAATGCCAGCGGTGGTTTGGATTTGCACGGGTGCTTGATGTGGTGCCAGCGACTGCGGCGGCAGGACATGCCGGTGTGGTCCATGATTGGCCGGCCAGAAGCGCGGTAGGCGTCTGTGCGGCGGGAATGTGCGTCGCTCTGATGATATAATTATTTGCTGCGGTGCCGCTGCTGCCGACATTTGAGTGGCGTGTGCAGCAGCTGCTGCTGCCGCCGCATTGGAATGTATATGCTGTGCAGCAGCCGCTGCCGCTGCAGCACTCATCGAGGCAATGTGTATGTGGCTCGGCAGCTGATGGGCATGTGCATGTGGATGTGGATGTGGATGGGGATGCGTTGCCTGGGAGCCCACTGGCACAGATGCTGCTGCAGCTGCGGCTGCTGCTGCAGCCGCTGCAGCGGCCGCCTGATGTCCGTCCATATGGTGGGCATTGGGCTGTGGCTCCAATGTCAGATTAGCCACTGCAATGGCGGCCACGTCGCGTTGCTGCTGCTGTGCCGTAATCGTTGCCGCTTGGATCATGTGCTGTGCTGCGGCTGCTGCAGCTGCCACTTGTGTGGGTGTCGGAACCTGAGTTACCTGCAGCGGAGCAGCAGCCAGACCGGCAGGCGCTGCTGTGAAGGGTTGCGCATAAATGCCATGCAGATGGCAAGGCGCCAGACGTGCTTGGGCTGGCAACGGATACGTGCAGAAGGATGCCCAAATGGGCTCGTGACGCAGAGCCAGATTGAGGTCGACCATTAGCGAGGTGGGTGGCGGTGGCGGCGGTGCAGCACCTACTCCCTGCTGATGACTGGGTGCCTGTGGTGGCGGCGGCGGTGCCTGCACCTGCTGCAATATGGCGCCCACAGTGCTGCTCGGAGCTGGCCCGCCAGCGTTGCCCACGGCCGGACCATTGCCAGCCAGATCCCACGGCGAGCGATGTGAGTGTGTGTGCTGATGCGGCTGCTGTTGCTGCGGCGCGTAGTGCGGCTGGGGCTGCTGATGATGATGCATTGGATGGTAGTTCGGAGGCATCTGCTGCTGCTGCTGTTGCTGTTGCGAATGATGCGGCTGTGGAGCGTATTGTGGATGTTGTATTTGTTGCTGTTGCTGCTGCTGCTGCGTGGAGGTGGCCACATCGCGCAGTCGTGGTCGACGCAACGGCGGACTGCCCTGTTGCATCTGGATAAAAATTATTCGAATGGGAAATGTTTTGAATAGCCTACTCTACACAACGACTTACCATAACGCGCTGTGAGCGTCTAGGCTCCCAAATAGCTGGCGGCGATTGACTGGGCCGACCCGAAATGCGGCGACGCTTGCGCGATGGACTATCCGAGTTGATGCCATTGGGACCGAGTCCATTGTTGAGCGATAGCGTTGAGCCGGACAAACCGGAGCCGGACGGAACATCACCCATTAGGCCAGGTCCGGCGGAGGATCCAGATGCAACATTGTTGTTATTTCCGTTGTTGTTGTTGTTGCTATAGCCATTGCTCATGTGCTGCTGATAGTGCTGGGCACCATTCCGACCATAGCTGTTGCCACTTCCCCCATTGCGCATAAAGCTATAGCCACCATCAGCTCTATGATCCACATTCTGTTCCGAACTACCATTATTAAAGTGCTGCAAGGAGTGGAAATACAATTAAAGATGTGCATTGAACTATATGTCTGACCTGGCAAATACTCTGAACATTAAGCTATAGCTACGATAGTGTTAGTTGTAATGACTTTAAAATTTACTGAGTCTTACTGGCCAGCACTGAAAAATGTAACTTATTAAGCTTCTAATTTAAAAAACATTGAACTGAAAATGTAGAAATAGATCACACAATATATAGTATATAAATATGTATAGAATATAGTGAAAAAATATATAATATAAATTATAATATATATAGGGGATATAATTATACAATATTTATAGCATACTGCCTGTAAAATTAAATATTGTTTACTATTCAGTAGTCTATAAAAAAACAGCTTGGTCTATCATCTTTAACATTTGTCAAAATAATCTATGATTTATCATTAGAAGAAACTTTTTTTTGACTCATAATGCAACCATTTATTTTGTATAGCCGGAATTATAAGTTCTTTATCTCGCTCTATGTTATTGAATACTAATTTTTGGAAATGGTCAAATCTATTAATTATAAGTATTATCAATTTTTTATACTTTCATAGATCGATAGAACAACTTGATATATCGCTTACAACATAGCGAAATATATGGGCCTCAGAATGTAAAATCAATTATTGTTTAATGTATGCATATCCATATGAAGAAAGATATGTTCAATTAATGACCTACATAATGAAAATTTGTTTGAGTCTAAATTCTCGTCAAAGATAATTTGTGGATATAGTGATGTTTTTATAGGATAAGGTAAATGATTTTTAGATAGAATTTTGAATTGCTAGAGGCAGCTTAGTCAGATGTATAGTTGACCAGGGTTAGCTTTTAGATTGCTTATAGTTATATAGTGTAGCTGGAAAAGGTGTCTTAATATAAAAGAATGAATATATCTATACCTATAACCTATGTATATATCAAATATACCTATATTACACATATAAATTTATATACATATATATTGAACTGACTTGCTAACTCACATTATTGTTTGCATTTCTGTCATAGTTGCCATTGTGGCGACGACTGTTGTTGTTGTTGTGGCCGTTGCCCAGATTGTTGTTGTTGTTGTTAATATTATTGTTGTTGCTGCTGTTGTTGTGGTGTTGCTGATAGTCACGGGACAAAGCGGGACATGCGCGACGATAATTCATATAGTCAGAATTGTTCACACTAATCGCATTGTTGTTGTTGTTGTTGCTATTGCTATTATTATTGATGTTGTTGTTGTTGCGATTGTTGTAGTTACGTTGGCCGTGATGTGGTCCTGCAGATCCTTGGCTATGACTATTGATGGATGCATGGTTATAATGAGTATCAGTCAATTGGTTGAGGTTTATCATAAGAAGCGGCGGCGACAATTGTTGCAGTTGCATTTGTTGTGGTTGTTGTTGTTGTAGTTGTTGGGTTTGAGATCGTCGTTGTTGTCGTTGTGAACACAGTTGTTGTGGTTGTGGATGTTGTTGTTGTTGTTGTTGTTGTGGCGCAGTTGACCCATGAGGAATTATATCGGTACAAGAATTGACATTCACAACATCAGTAGGAATACTATTTGTTGTTGTATTGGTTGAATTGAAAGTTGTTGCGGTTGTTGAATTTGAATTCGTACGTGTTAGCGGGAGGGATTGGCGATTAGTCGGTTGTTGTTGTGGCTGTGGTTGTGACAGTGGTTGTGGTTGTGATTGGTGATACTGGTTGTTGTTGCTGTTGTTGTTGTTGTTGTAGCTGTGATGGGTGCTGTGATATTGATGATTATGATTGAAATTATGTGGAAGGTGATTGTGGTTGTTGTTGTTGTTGTTATGCTGTTGGGCTGGTAAGGATATCAGGGCAAGGGGTGTGCTACGGCGTGTTGTAGGTGTGCTTGTGGTCGGGGGGGCAACAGTTAAACATAAGCGTGCTGGATTTAATCGAACAACGGACACGGACATTGAACCAAAAGCAGGAGGCACACTCGCAGCACTGTGGCACATATCAAAATAGCTCTGATAGCCGTGATTCACATTTGGACTCTGATTGGAGATTAAATACTGATTGGGATTGTGGTTTTCATTGTGTAGACTTCGCAAACTACTGCGATTACTGCTGCTATTGTTAACAGTGCAATTGTTGTCGTGTGCAATGTTGGTAATTGAATGATGATAGCTGTTATGGTTAACATTACTGTTACTGTTAATGTTACTGTTACTGTTATTGTTACTGATACTGTTATTGTTACTGTTATACTGAGTGGGCTGGCTATGATGGACTTGTGACTGATGATTCTGTTGTTGTGAGGAGGCATTATGATCATGATTGAGGTTAAGGCTGTTATTGTGATGATGCGTTTTGCTATTGTTATAAATACAAGTTCCGCTAGAATTACTTGTTTGTACATCGCTGGATTTTCGATTTAGGATTGCAATTGCGTTATGTTTTTGGATTTGGATTGTTTTTTTTTTTTTTTTTCAGATAATATGGTAATACATATAGTAAGATATACGCATATAATATAATATATATAGTCGATTTTACGAGATACATTTGAAAATTGTTCAATCAAATCAATGCAGTAGCAGTGTGGTGGTAGTATTAAAACACAACCCATATATAGTTATTTTTGTATGCATATACATGTACAGGTAGTAGGTAGTAGTAGTAGTAGTGTATATATGCAGAGTGGTAGCCACACATATACGTTATTTATATAGTTTTTTTTTATTATTATTTTGCAGTTTTTTTTTCGGTTTTTTTTTATGAAGAAGAAAGAAAAACGAAAAAGATAAAAATAATATATATGTAAATGGCAAAATGCAATAATTAGATTATTAGTTTAATATAGATATA